ACACGGCAGTCTTAAGCTTACGTGCCTTCGGGGGAAATAATGCTACAATAAAGTCAATGGAGCCCGTGCCGTGTGCTGTGTCACCCCGTCCTCCTGGAGCCACTCCTTGTCCCGATCTGTCCCGTGACGTCGCCCCAGAGGGGCGACCCACACGGGTGTCATAGCGGCGGTGAAGGATCACTCTGGGGCGGTGCTGACAGGATCCCCGCTCCCGTTCTCAAAGGGCATCTTCTCTAGAGTCATGATTGGATGAATATAAGATCGCTGATGATTGCCAATGTTCTGATCATGTTTTACGACTAAATGGCCCCTCGAAGGCCATTGCAGTCTTGATTGCGTGGCAAATACACTTACTGGCTGCTGCTGGACGAATACACTACACTGGCTGCTGAGAAAAAAAGCGTGGGTTAACTTTCTGAGGCCACATTGCATAAACGATACTTTTATCTAGCCACAGCCTGTGCTTAACTTTTCCTACCTTTCTACGACTTATTTGCAAAGGATGTTGTTGTTTTGCTAAACGGAGAGCATACGGTACAGCCGAGAGACCTTTCATAGAGTTCCGGGTATCCATTCTCACGGAAAAGTAGTGATGTTTTAACATGACTTCGCTCACTCGTGGTGTGTGTGTGGCGGGGGGGGGGGGGGAGGGGCGGGATCAGAAGGCAAACACACCGCTCGTCACATTTGTGATCGAAGGACTGCTTTCTAGGTATCCATATGGTCGAAGCTTCTTACGCGTTTTGACGGGAGCGACCATCATATTTTTTAAAGATTTGGTCAGTACCTTTTCATTGGTGTGTTTCTGGGATGAGCACCCACGCCAAGCAGTGCTGGCTGCATGAGCCCGATCCTACCATCCGGTCGTAGAATTCCGGGCCAACGGTAGAACTTTGCGGCGAAAGCCTGTAGTACCATCATGCTCGTACGGTCCGCTTGCCCTCTGACGTCACCTGGCCGTCCGCGCGGCCGCTGTCACTGACCTCAGGCTTCCTCAGCCAGGGATGAAAATATGTGCTTTAGGCGACTCGAATCCACCCCGCCACGGAGGAGGGGGGGAGACGAATCTGAAAGTAGGGGCCTTAAGCAGTTAGGCTACCGGCGCGAGCTAGATATAGTTTTGGACAGGACGGTTTTAGGGGCATTTCAATTGTATCTATTCCACGTGGTTCAATTCCTCGGTAAAAAGGGTCCGAGGAATGGAATCAATCCATTTTGTTCGCAGTGCTCTTGCGTGAAAGAAATGTTTGAATGGTGTTGATCAGTTTTTATGAAAAAGATATGATCACGAGCAACGAATCCAAGCGCCCAGCTTTCTCACTATAACCAATGGTTTCTCGATAAGTCGTTCATCGTTCAGCCACATCCTCGCGGTATACTGAAGGTCGGCTATTTTCGACACGAGTATACCCAGCTCATAACGACGAGATACCAAGAGCCAAGAACCTTTCTTGCTTATATCAGCTTCCAAGCGAGTCAAAGCGATCGTCACACCATCTGTTAACATGACCACTCTAGTGTGACCCCTCCGGTCACTTACCTTCACCTGCTCTGTCTTAAGGCGTAGCAAAAAGAGACTATCATTTTATTTTTGGCGGATGATATCCTTCTTACTTCCTGACCGCCAACAACTTAAAATTATGTAATGGTGTTACGCGTTTGAGAGGGCAGCAATCGCAGTTTAAGCAGCTCATGCGTAATGCTGCCTGTTTTGGCTGTCATCCTGTCGGCCGAACGGGCTCATGCATGCGAGTTCGTCTGCAGCAGGGAAGTCGCGAGCGTACTCCCTGGCTTGAGCCGGTCCGGCCGCGGCTGCATGGCGCTCGCGCCGCTCCGCCGCTTGCTGATGTACCATCTTATCTGTGACCTAACGTATCTTAATGCGTCGCCAGTTTCGGTGCCGGATACATACAGAGAAGCATTTACATTGAATTAATGTAATTGCAAGCTGTTTCTTTGCGCATTGCAGTGAAGCCAGGTGTGTGCCGTAGCCGTATGCCAGAGGTTTGTGACAGGTCTGACTGCCCTACACAGCCGTAATCTGGGCGAAACGGCCTGGACTTAATGTCTTTGCCGGAAATGTCTGAAACACGTGCACTGTGCGGTGACATTGTGGAATCGTGGACCACATGGGAGAAACACAGCGGATACATGAATGTCAGGCCACTCAGTGGCTGCAGCATTGGGGACAGCTCACAGCTCACTCTTCCCCCCGTTCCGCGCTGCGCCCACCTGGATGACGATATCTCCAGTCAGTATTTAAAATGCAACAAAACATGTGTGAATTTGCAGCGAGTAGTCCATACACCCACAACAAGCGTCACAAGAATGCAAACTTTTGCAGTCCGAAGGGTTGTATCGTAATGATGTTTCACGCTTGTATGTCGCAGAAATCAAGTTAAAGTGCCGCAGTTTGTGAACGAGGCTAGGCATTGACCTGAGCGGTGCGCATAGGTTGCTGCAACCCAAAAACCGCGTACCCGCAGCAAACCTTGGTCACGAATGTCGATTTGTATTCTTTGTGAGGGCCCTGGCCCTCCCAATGTTGAGTTGGGCACGCAATGTTGGCTTCCCCCCCCCCCCCCCCCAATAGTTTTGGGTGGAATACTACAAAAAATGTGGATAAAAGATGATCACAACACAAGGACTATCTTCTTTGATCTTTGTGCGTGGTGGTGTCTTGTGCTACTCTCATAACAAAAGGTCATGGTTGTTCTCAACACTCACAAGATAAAAATCATAACAGCTGAGTGGATAAACGATGCAATAAACTTCACATACCTAGCGCCATAAGACACACAATGGTTTGTGAAGTTAAAGTGAAAGGCTCTGGAATATAGGGATAACCCAAGTCCATCGTGGGGAAACCCCGTCCCCATCCCCCACAGCCGAAATGCGTGCCGCCTCCCATGACCGCCAAGGAAGAGCGCCATCTGCGCCTAAAATGGCCTCTAAAGGGGCGCCTTCACGTGCCGATCATAAGAGACGCGTGCGTCCAGTGTCTGCTCCCTGGATCCAACCTTGCGTGGCTTCTGTGCTGCTTAGACTTAAGACATTTATAAATTATACAAAGATTTAAAGCAAATGTTGCATTTTATCAAAATAAAGTGGGCTAAATCCAGTGAGAAGAAAGCGTGGGAGGGAGGGGGGGGGGGGGGTAGGCTGTCGAGCTTTCGGTTCGTCTCCCCTCCAATAATTAACAAGAACTGACACCCTTGACCTTGGTCGTTTTTTAGTTTATGTATTCCACAACGTCTGTCAGCGTGGCTTTTCACTGATGATCGCCCTTTGTAAAGCCACGCTGAGCCGCGTTGAGTATGCAACGTTTAGGCCCGTTTAAACAGTCGTGCATCAAGCAGCTGTGCATACAACACCATGACGTTGTACATGTACAATGTGCAAATGCACACGGCTCATAACGAGCACGACAGCCGTGGATGGCGATTTACTTTGTCAGTTGCGACGGCTTTACAACAGACGACAATTATCCTTTCTCCGCTTGCAGTAAGACATACCGCCGATGATAATGATCAGTCTGTTGTGGATGTCAATCCCGTATTAAGACAGGCGCCTTTGTGCTGAATGTGACGCATGCAGAGGCGTCACTTTATGTACATTCGTGGGCGCCTGGGCCCGGAAGCTGACTTGGCCCCCCTCCCCTCCAATGCTCTTCTGAACCCCTTCAATGCATATGAGCAGAGAGAATGTTGGCGAAATAAAGACGGAACAATTACATTGACTAACGGTGTGCTAGGAAGTACGTATCTAAATACATCACCATTATTATCAGGTTGATTTTGTGCCAAATAGTATCCTTTTGGTACCTGGTGAAAACTGGGGTGGGATAAAGAATAATTGCCTGCAATATATGGCAGCTTTTAAAAGTACGAGGTGGTCCGGATCAAGGATAGCGCATGTTTTCCTGAATACTGGAAAGTATATTTGTCGCAAAATCGTGACTGTGGTGGTTAAACAACACGATCAGCAACCGCGGTAGTCATCACTGATACCTCGCTAAGATCAGCTGACAAGTTTTCCTGGGAATAACACCCCGCTCCAAGCTTTTTACCTAAAGGCAGCTCACGGTACCTTGCCATGTGAAGTTGTGCTTCCGCAGGCTAACAATTTAAATATAAGAAACCCTATTATGCAATATATATTTACATCGAGAACGTAAATTCAGATGGCTTAAATACGGGGAGAATTCGGAATTTGGCAGAAGGCTAGGTCGGCCTTTTCTGGTGAGCCCTCTCAACCGATTTTAGAAAGTGACACCCCAGACACCTGCCAAGGCGGTCCGCTGTTCACCCTTGACTCCGTGACTGTTCCGGAGGACAGCTGATGCTCCGATCATCACGATCTGTTCCTGGACATTGCAGGGGGGGGGGGGGGGGTTACGCAGACTATGTATACGCAGACTATGCAGACAGGCTGTGCAGTATGTGGGACGTGCTGGTCTGTTCTCAGCCGGTTAATTACCAGCCCGCCGTATGAACCGACCTCGAACGCCCATTGGCTGTGGGCTAAGTCAAGGACTATTCTTTAAAGGGAGAGGAAGGGATACGACGTAACGAGTGGTGGAAAGCCACTAAAGCATGTCTTGTTATCCTTTCCACTTCGTAATCAAACGTACGCCACGAGCCTGATGCCGGAGCACGCACCCAAACATAAGGTATCATGTTCGGTCTCTACGTCTCCCACCTCTCGACGGGCAGCAAATAGACACCGCACTCAGCACGAGCCCCTGCTCCGTGCCCCCCCCCCCCTTTCCCCCGCTCCCCCATCTGACCTCCTGCCGTCACAACCCGACCCACGGGCCGGCATCATGCCTTGCTGGTGACGCAACGTGCCTGCTTCACGTGAACAGGGCGCCGTGAGCACGCACTGTTCACGTGGACAGCGGCGCCTCTGATTGGTTGGGCGGACCGCACCCCCGCCGCCCATTGGTCGATACGCACACGCCCAGGTATGAATCCCACACTCGGCGCCAGCGCAGAAACGCGAAAGCTTTGTTATTTGCTGGTGGGTGGTGCTGCGGTGAGGAGCGGCCACGGAACTGAACCTGTGCAGGAGAAGGCGGTTGGATGGTTTTGAAGACCATGATGCTGGAGCACTTTCTTCTCTCGCCGCCGGCGTCGCCCCGGCTAGAGGACAACTACACACAGGTCAGTACCTGAAACGTTTCATGGTGCAAGTGCAGGTGGCTGGTTATCTTCCGGGGTTCATTTCTGGGGTGAAGTCGTTAAAATCGCTAAGACCTGTTGTCGTTTTACGGTGATTGAAATTATCAGTTTCATGCAATCTCGTGTGCTTGCGGCCTGAGTCCCATTATGCTGTCCCAGCTTTGTCCTGGGAGGCGGGAAGCGCGCGGAGTTCATGTTTGTAATCATGAAATGCCAGTGGTCTGGGTCGTCATTATGCCGGCCATTCTGCACGCTTCTTGAGCGTTTGGCTAGCAATACAATTCACTACACCGCGACCTTGGGATTGTCTGGACCAATGTCGCCTGAAAGCTGGCAGCATTGGCGTGTGACGTGCGTAACCCCCATCGTAAACGTTGTGCATTGCGGTTCGGCTGCCCCGGTATTTTCTTACGTTTGTATTCCTAGCTCGCTGAATATTCAGACGGGTCCCCGTCAACGTTGTCCGACCTGTGGGTGAGGAATCCATTTCGCTACTGACTGGCGCGCGTTTCCCTGATCCCCGCCCAGACCTTCTCCCCGATTCTCCGTTGGGCCCGTTGCATAGACGTGGGGTCTTTGTCCCGCCGCGGACACCCCTGGGCACCCCCCTCCCCCTGCATCGTCGGAGCGACGCACGCGCTGCCCGGCTGATCCAGGCGGTCGGTGACGTCACCGGCCCGACCGTGACGTCACGGACCGCGATCAGCCGCTGTTCACGTGGACAGGGAATGGGGTGAAGGTTGCGGCGAGCCCCCGACGCGCGGCCACTCACCAACCGGGCGGGCGGACCGTGGCGCCGCAGTGCGGCGCGCCGCGTGCGCGCCACACGTCCTGCTCTCCGGCAGCGGGTCAGTCACGTCGATGGACGGACAGGCGGGCAGGGAGGGAAGGGGGGAGGGGCGAGCCACTGAGCCCGGACCTGCCGTCACAGCTGACGGCCTGGCACTCTGCCAGCTTCCCGCCGCTTTGGCTCGAGAGGCCGGTACTACCGACGGGCTCGGCTGCCGGGTCGTGTTCGGAAGTGAGTCGAGATCGTGTCCCCGGCGGTACTTTGCCGTCCGTGGCTCTTCGTCTTTCGGGTGGAAAGGCGTCATTCATCACCGGCGACAGCCATCGCCAGGCGCAGGCGCACCGTTAGGCCCCGCCGCCGTGCGCTTGTACCCGAGCGCGTTATCGCGGCAGGCTGGCTGATGCTGGCCGGGTGTCTGGACAGCCTGCCCAGTGGACCTCGTGTCCGGTTCACGCCCCATGACCGCTGAGGCCGTCCGTTTACGCTGGGTGAGCAAGGGTCGTGCGTCTGGCGCCAGCGAGCTCGCGCGGCTCGAAATCTCCCGCCAAAACCGCTCTGCGCCGGCGGTGGCGCCAGTTATGTAAGTGACCTCGTGGCTTCCGACTGGGCCCATCACCCCGTCCCCTACCGGGGTGGCTGGTGTGCGTTACCGGCGACGCGAGGTGACGTGGCGACGCCCCCATCCGGACCTGTTCAGCGGTCTGTTGTTACTCCCCCCCCCCCCCCTTCGCTGGTCCCGGGCGACGAACAGCGCAGTCGGCGGGGAAAGCCGGCGGTCATTTGGGCACAGGGGTGCGCTGATGGCGGCATTCATCCTGCATTACTGCGTTAAGCAGATACGAGATTACAGGAGTTGCTGTTATGGATCGGACTTTCCCTGAACGTAACGTGGACATCGTGGACACACCGTGCGTTTTTTTAGGGGGGGGGGGGGTGAACCCGTCAGGAGTCAGCAGGTGCGTTCGAAAGCCGGGCGCGTGCCGCGCCGACTTCTCGCACCTCATGTCGGGCCTGCCGGGTCTGGCCACCGGTCTGACGCGGCCGCTGCTGTTGTTGCAGGACGCCATGCTGGCTGCCAAGAGCCTGATGTCGCTGTCGGCGGCGCGGCGGCCGCGCAGCCCGTCCGGCCTGGCGCCGACGCCGCCGCACAGCGTCGTCTCGTCCGACTCCGAGGCGGAGGAGGCGGCGCCGCAGGTCGCGCGCGCTGCTGCCACCGCCGCCGCCGCGTCGTCCCGACATGACTCCGTGCTGGCCAAGGTGAGCGCGCCGCCCGTACCGCGTTAGCGCCTCGCGAGAGGTGATCATGTGTTGACGCTGTTGCATTACGATAGGGCCGCGTGAAACCAGATCTGCGAAGCTGAGGGCGACTGGCGGCGTGGAAGGCACGCCGGCCCGATCGCGGTCCGTCTGACGGTCGCTGCTTGTCTTTCCAGCTGCTGTGCGACCGGACAGGCCCTGAGCTGCCGCTGTCGCCGGCGTCTCCCTGCGCCGCCGCCGCCCGACCAGCCGCTCGCCAGTCGGTTATCTTCCGCGCCCACAAGGACGGTACGGCGTCGCCGCAGCCGCCAGTGGCGCGGCAGCAGCAGGAGCAGCAGCCGGCGGCGGCGGCGGCGCCGCGGCCGGTCTCGATCGCGCCGCGGCCGGTGCCGCTGCTGCCCCTGCTCTCGGTGTCGGGCGGCCAGACGGCGCCGGGCCAGGCGCTTTTGCTCGCGCCCGGCCAGGTGATCCGCGTGCCGCCGGCGTTGCTGGCGCCGGTCGGCCAGCGGCTGGCCGCCCCCGCGCCCGACCGGCAGCGCGCCTACTGCTGTCAGCACGCCGGCTGCGACAAGACGTACTTCAAGTCTAGTCACCTCAAGGCTCACGTCCGCACGCACACCGGTGAGCGCTGGACGGGTGCCGGGGCCGGGGCCGGGGCGGGGGCGGGGGCGGGGCTGCGGCTGGCGGTGTGCCTGTTGCCGGCCGGCTGTGAGCGCTGCTGTCACCGGCGGAGTCACGCCGAGCGCTGGGCTGACGCAAGGGGCCAACCGGGTTGGGACGGGGCGAGTCGCTGTGTGCGGCGCTGCTCAAGGTCGGCGTTCGTTGTCTGGGTTCAGGTCGTTGTCCTGTCCGTTTGAAGCCGGCGGCCGCGCGTCGCGAGCGGGCGGGTCGTGACGGTCGTGTCCTCCGTTGCAGGCGAGAAGCCGTTCGCGTGCCAGTGGCCCGAGTGCGGGCGCACGTTCTCCCGCTCCGACGAGCTCTCGCGCCACAAGCGCACGCACACCGGCGAGAAGAAGTTCGCCTGCGACGTCTGCCTGCGCCGCTTCATGCGCTCCGACCACCTCACCAAGCACATGCGCCGCCACGCGCGCGACCGCAAGAGCGTCAGTGTGCCGGACGTGCGTCAGAGGGCAGTGGTGCGGCCCTACCTCATCCTGAGCGCGACGGCCGTGTGAGCGGTCTCCCCCGCCGTCACGAGAACGTCACGAGGGGACGGACAGTACCTGACGCGGGCGCCGGCCGGGGGCGGCCTGAGCCGCCGGCCGGCGCGCCTATTTATTTTGTTTCTATTTATGTGTTCGTGTATGCAGCTTTAATGAACGTGATAATATACGCCACGCGCGGTGAACGTCTTTGAGAGATGTGTTCGGCTGGCGAATCGTCGCGTCCCGCTGTTGAAGCCAGACCGGTACAGATCCCCGGCTCGGGGGATTCTGGGCCGTATCCTGTTTACACCAGCCCTCATCGGAACCCGCTCAGGCGGCGTGCGAGATACGATCCAGCGGCGAGACGGCCCGCTATCGCGGGCTGTAAATACGGCGCGACGGGCTGCGGCCGCACTAACAGGGCGCCGACACCAGACGTCTCGCCGTGTTTGACGCTTCAGGGCAAGCCGGGCCCGTAAGACGCTCGGCCCGCGAGCGAGAGGACCGCTTGGGCCGCTCGCGCGCCGCAGGTAGGGCCGGCGAGTTCACAATCTGTGGCACGGTCAGTACCGCACGCTGCAGTACTGAAAACACCGGCTGAGAGTGGTGCCACGAGCGGCGGCGAAGTAACGCCCGGCTACCAGCAGCGTGGGGGACCGGGAGTGAACAACCAGGGAATCCAGTCTGAGCGGGGGATGCCAATCACAACCATCCCGCAGTCGCCCCACTTTTGCCAGCCGAGCATGTGCGCCAGTCAGCTGGTTGAACGATTTCCAGACTTGCTCGCCGTGCACGGTAACACCCCTCGGCTGAGCAGACCCGCATGCCGCACGATGATCATTACCAGGAGTCTGGCGTTGGGAAGTTGAAACCATCCACTCCACGGTTTAGATCATTACGTAGCTGAGTAATGTCCTCGACCTGAGCCCACACTGACGCGCCCTGTTAACCAATCTGTGTGCCGTACAGCGCGAAAAGACACCCCTTGGCAGTTCAGTGATTAGTGTATTTGACCTCAACCATAGCCATAAAAACAGCGCCAAAAGCGATACACAAAACCCGAATAAGCACGGATAAGCAGTACAAGGGGCCCGCGGGCAGCCGTCACAGCCGCGCCCGGGGCCGCCCGATGACCTTGAGGTTTGGCCGGCTGCGGTGTGGGGGTAGGGGAGGGGCGGCCGACCGCCCATCACAGCGTGCGCAGCAAGGCGTGCCGGCTCACAGCGGAACGTTCGCCGCAGCGCCGTCCCGGCACCAGCCAGGGCGTCAGCAGCGCCAGGTGGCGCGGCAACAACACGCCCTCGAGCGCCGTCAGCGGCCGCGTGATGACGTCATACACTGAGCCGGCAGAGGACGGACGGGCTGCCGCGGAGGGCGGCGCGGGCGGGTGGGCTGGCGGGGCCGCAAAGCTTGGGGCTTCCGTGTGTGCCGTTCTTGGTAGGGACGCACTACGTGTGGTCGGTGCGAGGGGAACACGCAGCGGTGGCGGTTGGGCGGTGAGCACTGGGGGTGGCGCCGGCGCGGCACGACGGAGCACACGTGTCACCGTCCGTAAGCCGCCCCACAATGCACTGCACTCTTAACGACATACGACGATAAAGCGTGCCTAGAGGCGGAGTACTACGAGGTCTAGTACTAGAGGCGGAGTACTCTGCCGTCTCACATGGCAAAACCACCAGGGGGAGGGGCCAGTACCAGCGACAGTCCCTGTTCCCGTGGCGAGGGAGTGGCCGCCGCCCGCCTACAGCTTGTCGATCACAAGCCACTTCTCTTTGATGTGCTCTATCTGGTCCGAGACGGCCGGCTTGCGCATGCGCAGCTTCACCTCCAGCTTGCCCTTGACGGTGCGACGGCCCTCGACAATCTGCAACAGACGGCCGCAGGTCAGCGCGGGACGCGCGACAGGCCGGGGGCACCACCCAGGCCGCACGGGGCCGAGGCGACGCTGTCTCCGGGCCTGACGGCGCCCTGAGTCACGGCCGGCGCCCGGGCACTGTTTGTACACATGGCCGGGCGTCACGCGCGACCTTTGCCCCCAGCCGCCGGCCGTTGCCCCGCCCCGGGCCTCGACACTGACCTCACGTGACAGGGCCGGGGAACAGGGTGGGGGCAGGGGGAGGGACCAGCGGGCCGCTTTATAAGGAGAGGAGATTGCTTCTAGCCGCCAGAAGGACGCAGCATTACTTCGGCAAAATGATAAAGCAAAATGATAAAAAATTATGCGGCAAACAACGATCGGACCGGTCAATTTCTGACAAGACGATACCAGAATCGGTTTACAAGGGTTCATTTTCGGGGCATTTTGAACAAAACACCGAAACGCTTAGTTCAGCGGGGTTCCAATTTACAGTCCGTTTTCGCTAGCTGGCTACGGCTTCCTAAGTGGAAGAGCTGCGCATCGTAAGTACATACTGTTGTCTTCGTACAACCCCTACCGATGCCAAGTCGCGAACAGGCTAGTGGAAGGTTTAACAGAGGCTCCTCGACGGAGCTTACGGAAGTGCGGGACCGAGAGGAAACACTCCGCCTACATCGGGACCCAATTATGGCGACGGCGGTGTAGGATATGACGAAACAAATGATCTTTAATCCTGAGCACTCAGCCATTACAGACACAAGCATGATTCTCTTGCAAAAGGGCATAATTTCTCGAGAAGTATATCATCAGTTCTCCACGAAAATGGATACCGTATGAGATAGTTTTGTGAAAGCATGGGATGTCGATGTAAATAATGAAGGAACGGAGCGACACGCGCGTCTTGTAAAACTCCGCCATACGCTCCAGTCCGCTGCATAATTCTCCACTCTGCGATTTTAATCATGATTCAGGACAATTAACGGTAGCTAGCTTGGATAATCCCTCGCACCGACTGTATCAGCCACATCCACTTGGTAGGTCTGTTGCCCGCAAGCCCGCCGTCCTGCTACTGCCTCGCAGGCACCACGCGCGCGCGGCTGCTGGCACGGGGATGTCACACCACCGCTGGTGAGAACTGACAGGAAGGGCAAGGGGGGGGGGGGGAGTGGCGTGTAGTGCAGGGAATGCCACACCGCCGCTGGTGGGGACTGAGTCTCCATAATCCCAACAAACCTCAATACGCAACACAATAACCTCCCCGCGGCTGGGTTCCATCTTGTTGCCCTCGACTACACCTGACCCCCTCCACTGCCCCAGCACACGTGCTGCCTCCGGACGTGGGAGCCTCCCGCGCCCCGGCCCGTCCCGCCCACCCGCCACGACGGTTCAACGGTCCAGCGGCCGGCCGCCGGCGTCCTCCCGCCGCGGAGACCTCCGGCACGATGCGCACGTCCCTCCCGCAGGACGCCGGGGGGGGGGGGGGGGGCTGCGCTACACGCGGCTCGGTCGTGATCGTCCGTGCGACGCAGAAGACCACGCCGACAGCGGGCGGGGACGGGCCGTGCACGGCAGCCGACCGTGCCTCTGCCGCGTGGTACACCCACCGACCGGCGTCTGGGTGTAACCGGACCGGGGGGGGGGGGGGGGGGGCGCCACGCAGCGGCCGCAAAGCTGCATAACACCCGCTGAAAGGGATGACTGGGAGCTGGGCGGATTTTCAAACAGAGATGAAGTACACCTTCCTCGAGTGGTTCGAGGCGGGTTATTCAGCCAACACCAGACGTGGAAGATCAGCTCAGCGACTCAGCGACGATGTCTTAATGAAAAGGAATGCCCGCTTCGCCCTGGCGCGCGGTTATCGCGCAACTGTACCTGATGGAGAGCAGTAGGACCCGGCCGGCCGGCAGGCGGTACGGACACGGCACAGTCGCACCAGCCCACGGTGAAGGCGCGCACGGAGAACACTGTCAGAATCGTGGCCAAGCCGAGGACCGAATCCCTCGCGGCTGGGTTCAGACAGTGACCTATGTTTTAGGAGTCCCGGGGGCGATCTCATCGGGCTGCCGGGCTGCCAGGGATCTGGCAAGTGACGAAGTTCGTCACGCGCAACCCGCAGGCACACCTGCGGCCTTCCCACTGCTGGCAACGAGCAGGGGTGTGTTCGGCAGGAAACCAGAGAAACGCCCACAATCTGTGTATTACCGCCTGCTATCCAGAGCATGTTCGGCGATGTCACTTGTAAGCAAATGACCGAGATCCATGGTTGCAACGGCCGACATAGTATCAGGCGAACAGGCAAACATCAAGTTTGCAAAGGCAGATTTCACGGCTTCGACAGCTCCGAAGCGCGCTGAAACGGGCCAGCATACTTGCCATGCCGCACGTGTCAGCCATGCAATTGACCCATCAACGACACTTCGCATCGCTCAGACACGAGCACCTCCACAACCGAGAGCCGATAAAGAAGAGCTCCAGTCGGCACGTCATCCGCGCTCCAGAACGGCTGATTGCTCGAGGCTGCACCGCACGGCCACTGGCAAACACGGGCACCTCCACTGCGGAGAGCCGATGAAGACAACGTCCAGTCGACACAGCGTTCGCGCTCCCATCGGCTGGTTGCTTACGGCTACACCGCATGGCCGCTGGCACAGCGGTGACCGATGTGGTGGTGAGCTGGTCAGCGACCCGGTTACGAGGTAAGTCACGCCCGCCCGCAGATCAGTGAGAACGGCAGTCAGCGGAGCAGATCAGTGAGAACGGCAGTCAGCGGAGCAGATCAGTGAGAACGACAGTCAGCGAAGAACAAACTTACCGGGCTGAACTCGCCGCGCGCGCATTGTCAGAGTTATCACAGTCATGTTTCCTAATTCGGGAATGCGATTGGCCACCCGGAGTCGTCTGCCTTGTTCCCACCAAGACCAGGCGTTCTCGACTGGGAGAATTCCCCAAGAAGAAGACGCGGGGATCTCAGGAGGAGTTGCGATGAGGAGAAGTCATGTCTGAGTCAAGAAAGATTGCCGTCCTGGGAACGCATGCATATAGGCGCTGGCTGGAACGTGATGTTGTCACATGCTCTGCCATGCACCGCACGCCCTGCGCCGTAAATTATTGCCGCAATACCCACAAACGGGTCTCTTCTTTCCGCTGACATGCAGCGTTGAAGCACGAGCCGGATCCCGAGAGTTAAATTTATGACGTATTTTGTGATGACATGCTGTGGGGTATTCCAGAGCATGATCACACTACATGATCTGTGATCAGTCGCTTACTGTAGCCACCGATGTTTTATGCCCACGTGCGGATCCCCCCCCCCCCCAAAAAAAGTGTCGATGTCTAAATCGCAACAAGTGAGAAACTCAGTAATTAAGTTTCTGTCGACCGAAGTAATCGCTGTACAATACACGCTTGAGGGCCTGCCAGCCGCTTGCATTTTCCTACCTACATTACGAGATAAGACTAAGCATCGCTCAAGTGAGCCAACTTTTGTTGTGTGCCCCGAGGAGAGGGGGGGGGGGGGGGGCAGTAATAATAAGATCCCCACTTGGACAAGATGGACATGGACAGGTTGGGAAATGCTTCGCGATGTCCTACCGCTGCGCGGACGGGCAGAGCTCTATGTCTCGGCCAGCAGCAGTGCTTCGTTTCGCTCGCTCCGCCTCGCGTCTGCATCGAAGTTGCGAGGCTTCCGTGTCACAGTGCTTCGCCTCGCTCGCTCTGCCTCGCGTCTGCATCGGAGTTGTGAGGCTTCCGTGCGACAGTGCTTCGCTTCGCTCGCTCCACCTCGCGTCTGCATCGGAGCTGCAAGGGCTTCGCTTCGCTCGCTCCGCCTCGCGTCTGCATCGGAGTTGCAAGGGCTTCGCTTCGCTCGCTCCGCCTCGCGTCTACATCGGAGTTACAGGACTTCGGTGCGACAGTGTCGGCAGCCGGCGCCGAACGGTATTGTGGGTACCGCAACCGCGCCAGAAACCGCGGCGTCGAACGGTGCCAGGCATTGTAGTTATATCGCTTCAGGTGCTGGTGCTGAATCAGTACTGTCCAACTTGCAATAATGAAACTGTACCGTCGGTACTGGGGAGTTACCCGGGTTAGCGATAGATTAATTCATTTCAAATCTAGCCCGCCCTACGCCGCCCCGACCCTGTGTTAATGTAAGCCCCTAAACATGAAGAGCGGCTTGTCAAACAGCACGCGCCGTACTGCTGCAATCCTCGCTGCGATGCACCGCCGGCTCAAACGGAGCGCGCAGGACCGGCGGCACGGCGGGCAGAACGGGGTGCACGGCACTCGTCGCCAGGGTAAATCGCGATGGGAGGAACTCATGGTTGTGAGTGCTAGTGTCTAAACTGCAACTTACTAAGTGAGGTTAACTGACCGATGACGTGGGGGGCACATTGTCAGAAGATCGTCATAGCAAGCATGAAGTGCGGCTACATTATTTTGATTCTGCTTTATGTCATCCGCGTACCGCCATTGGCTGTGTGACATAAACGTTTATAACATTAAAATCTGACAAGTACATCTTGGTGTTCTCACCTTCTCCGGTTAGCAATAATTTTGGCCGGTTAAACCAGGCAGTTTGGACTAAGTAAAACAGGCAAACAACCGAAAGGGCAGACGCTAGTTGCAGACAGCTGGTAAATGACAAGTCATTCCTGACCGCCGTCCCTCCCCGGCAAAGTCCACAGAGACCCTTCCTGCCAACACACGGACCACCGCGCTGTTCGGGTCAAACCACACCAGGGGCGGATCCAGCACGCCGCCGATAGGAGGGGGGGGGGGGGGGAGAGGCAACACCGACTTGGAGGCAAACTCAAAACGGTGTCATGGTTTTCAAACACCCACCGAATTTTGCCCACCACCTGGAGGAACACTGGAAAGTGATGATGTCATATGCTCCGCCATGCACCGCATGCGCTCAGTCGTAAATTATTATTACAAAATTATTACAGACAAACGTTCCCTCCTTAAAGCAGCACAGGTTCTCTCAAAGGTTCTGAAATGTATGC